GTCTCGGCTGCTGCCGACGGCCCAGAGGACGGTGCTGCTACGAAGGCCGATGGCGCCCCGCCCGCCGAGCAACAGCAAGAGGAGCAGCGAGGCGCCTTCAGCTTGTGGCTGGCCAAGCCGCGAGTCATGTGGTGGATCGCCGTGCTGGTGGCCATCCTGCTCGTGGCGGTCGTGCTTATCGCCACGCTGCTCTCTACCGGAAGGGAGGTCGACGACATGGTGTGGGCGGACGACGCCTCCCTGCTGACCGTCTGGCCACGGCCCAAAGGGAGGCACCGGATGATCCAGTGAGGAGAGCACTCGATATATCGTATTTACGCGTTTGTAAGTCGACTCGAATTTAGGTCAATCCCCTAAAAATCAAGGCGAAAGAAAAAACAGAGAGCAAATTTTTATAAAGCAAATTTATTCATGGTCCTTGGACTGACTACACGTAGACTAGCACCATAGTTGAAGTCGGCGTCCGTCTTGCCACGCACTTCACTGCCCTTTCCTTGTAATAAGTACCACTGGAATGTTTTCAGCTGCTCTGTACTACTAACTTTTTTTGCATGGTCATAACATGAAACACGGATTCCTGTTCGTAGGGGTAGCTTCACGGTATTTCTGTACTGCTACACACTGAAGCTAGCTTCGTTGCAATACTTGGGGATTATTTCTAGAATATTTTTCGCGAATCGTTCCTGAGAATCTGGATTATACTTTAGAATTAGGGGTATACTTTAGAATTATACTTTATACTTTAGAATTAGGGGTATACTTTAGAATTAGCTGCGGAACGGAAAATGTATGCCTTAACCGTGCCACAGATTCTCTGACGTTTTGTTTATCCTGCCATAACTGGCGCTACAAACTTCTGTTTAGATTTTCCGTCGACCCCACAAATTCAGAGTTCACATTTAGATAATAAAATGAGTCGACCAACAATCCTGATAATGCGGTGTTTCCCTGCTTTTTGAAACACTCACTTCGAACGTATAAGCTAGAACTGTGGCGCTTGTCCACCTTGGTGGTACACTGGTTACGGTGTTCGGCTGCTGACCCGAACGACGTAGCTTGGATACCGGCCGCGGTGGTTGCAATTCGATAAAGGGGAAACGCCGAGGCCCGCGGGCAGTGAGTGCGATTTAAGTGCGCGCTAGTAAACAACAACACACCAGGTGGTTGGTATTTTGGTGTCCTCCACCACTATGGTGTTTCTCACAATATATCGTGGTTTTGGGACGTAAGACACCATACATTATTGATACAGTCACAGTTTCGCCCGTAAGGCGGAGCACTGATTTCTACCGCAACGAATTAAGTACATGCGAGGTAAAGTTCAGTACTGCATATTGCAGTTAGCATTTGCGTACGAGCTAAGTAACAAAGCATGACATGGTGCCATGAGCACAGAGGGAAACACGAGCACATCTCGTAGGATCTCCTCGAGCTCTCCTGTTAAAGGGGACCTTAAACACTTTTTTTGAGTAACCATGGAATTAATTCAAAAGCATATCGCCTCACAAGTTCGATGCCGCAAAAATTTTAAGAATCCGTCTAGTACGAGCGCAGTTGCAAGAATTTGTCGCACGCTGCAATCGCATTCTGTCTTCTCTCGTCCCGACGAAAGCGCTGGAGGCTAAGCTAGGAAGAATTGGAGGGGCAAACAAACAAAAAAAAAAAGAAAAAAAAACGTCACGCTCGCTTTATGACATTGAGCACTTTTTTCGGTTTTTTTTTTCATCGAATACGTGGTTTTTTTCAGTGCGATCCTGCGCGCACGCGTGTACAAGTGATGGCCTCTCGCGGCGATTTCGGTAACAACCGAGCGCGCTATGTTCAAATCAGCCAATAGCTGATGGATGGGTCATCTACGTGTGACTTGACCTATTACTTCTCTATTATGTGTGTTCTTATCTTTTATTAGTATTTCGCATCATGTTCGTCTTTACTTATGGTTATGTCTTTTTTATCTCTTCTCTCCTAATCTCTCCTAACTTTTGCCTTCTTATGAAAGAGCAGGCAGGCCCCTTGACCGCTCGCTCTCTCCCTCTTTCTATGTGTGTTCTTGTGTATCTCTGTATGCTAATCATCTAAATAAATAAATAATTAAATAAGCAACTGTAATTTTTTCGTTGGCTGAGGGCGACTTCCTTGAGAAGCATGAGGTCGCTGAGTGACCATAGCGGAAAAATACCCGCGCTCGCAGGTTCCGCCACGGAAGCTTGCCACACGAAGGTCGCGAATGGCCCGAGCTCACCGTGCAGCTCAAGGATCTCATGTCGGCCTACGACCCCGTGCGCGCGGCGCGCAACTCCAACGTGACCGAGTGCTTCGGCCGGCGACCGGAACACGGCAAGGTGTGCCTCTTCGACATCCGCGCCGTCGCGCCCGAGTGCACGGCGGCGCTCGACTTCGGCTACAAGGAAGGCAGTCCCTGCGTGTTCCTCCAGTTCTCCAACGTTCAGGGCTGGGAGCCCGCACCCATCGCGCAGCACGAGGCGGCACAGCTGCTGCCGGCGCCTCTGCTGCCGCTGCTCAAGCCGGGCCTCGTGTTGCTGCAGTGCGAGGGCGACACCGTGGTGGACCGCGAGAACCTGGGCGGCGTGGTGTACACGCCGTACCAGGGATTCCGCACCGAGTTCTTCCCGTACACGGGACACAAGGACTACATGGCGCCCATGGTGGCTGTCCAGTTTCGGAAACCCACGACGGCTATAGTGATCGGCGTCCGCTGCCGCCTCTGGGTTCGAAACCCGCCGCCGGCGAACGCCTCGTCCGAGCTCTTCTTCAACCTGCTCGTCGACTGAGGCTCTGAGCGAGGCCGGCGGCTGTGACCGTACACGGGGGAGGCCCTCCTGACCCCACCGTCTCTGTCATCCAGTGCGCTCGCTGTTGGCCGCCGAGAAAGGAAGCGAGGACCAAATGCCAATCCGTGGTCCGCGTTATAAGTGCTCGCCGGTTCGCGTGGATGAGTGTGGGGAGCTTCAGCAGAGCGTTGCCGCACTTTACGTTGAGAGTTGCCGAGGCATTCCGATTACGCTCCTTGAAGGTTGTTTTCGTGTAAAGAGGCGATGCCGAAAAAATAATGTTAGGTTTAAAGTCGAGAGAGGCATTTTCTTAATCCATTTCCCACTTTCGTGTTAGATCTGCTTGTCAACAATAGACAGTGTGTGTGGTAAACACACGCTCTCTCTGTGTGAATGTGAATCTTAGCAGATTTATGCGTTAAGTGCGGCAGCGCTCGTTGCGCAGTGGTCATTGTCGCCGAGGCTTACACCATCTTCCTTGGCATTGTACGGCAGCCGGATGGCGCATTATAGTTGTCATTGAATGTTACTGGTACGGTACCAGCGATAAGTCACCGATTGTATGAGCATGTAGACACGCAGCAGATGGCGTTTTCGTCTTTGGCGCCCGTTATGAAAACGTGAAGCGCACTCTGTTGCCGATAGCGTAGAACACGTGAATCTGGATCAGTGCTGACGGTGAAAACGTAATTTGTTACAAGTTTTGGCGCTTTTTGCGCCATCGGTCGAAAGTTGACGCGGAGTTTTGTAGAGCAAAGGCAGATGTGTAGACCAACATTGCCACTGCTACCGTTTTCACGTCATGATGCACGCTCTGCTGGTGTAAAGTGTTGCTAATCTACGCAAACGTCAGTTTGTGTACTTGCTTTCGCGACGAGGCAATAGGGGGACGTCCCCTTGGTCTAAGAAGTCTTTTAGCGAGCTAGTTGGAAAGCAGAGTTTCAGATCGTGCTGGCAAGGATAGGGATGAGTTGTGAAATGCTATATACGTGATTAATTTTACTGGGTGGTTGGAACTTGAGAAGAACGAGACATCTATGCCCACGGCATTTTTATTTTTTATTCTTTTTTTCATTTTTGATGTCCCGGCGAAGGATAGATTTTGAGATCTGTGAAATACTCATACTGAACAATAATGCGCAGAGAAAAACCGCGGAACTTTATGTTTGTGCAATTAGATGCTGATCTTTAGTTGGATGCGCGCTAAACTCTTTAGCGATAGTTGTAATGCTGGTTTGCTGAAATCAGAAGGACTTGATAATATCTTGGAGTTGAGGCAGTTGGTCGCCTGAAAGGGGTGTTCTAAGCGTTGGTCGGTGACTGAGCGTGCAATAGTATCGCGATCGAGGTTCGGAGAACAGACAGACATTTTCGCTCAAAGCGCGTCCTTGAGGAGTGGTGGTAGGGGGCGAGGGGGGATAGTTTTGACATGGGTTACTGTTACGGAGTGTCGTGGTCTTGGGCAGTCGATGCCGCTGTTTGTTTTCGCGTTGCTAGGGCTGAATACTGAAGCCTTAGACATTTTCGGAGTGTCACATTTCAAGTACTTCATACATGCCACACTGCCATTCTGTTGAAGCCCCCACAAGTAAAGGGTATGTTTGGGCGTCGCAAGGGTTTGCAGAATGCGAAGGGATGGATTGGGAAACTACGAAACAGGTTTTCAAAAAGTTCGAAAGCACAGCAGTGTAGGCAAGACCTGTCCGTTTGTTTTCACGTATAATGTTTTCTTCCACGTTTTTTTTTACATTTAGTGTTCTTAATATGTGCGAATATGCTTAGTTTCTCGATCTTTGGCAATATTGTTTTATCTATGCACCATCTTTAGAGGTTATAATTTATGTTCTCATCAAATATAAAAGAAAAATTGTTGATTGCTGGCAAGCATTATTTTCTAATGCGAAAAAAAAAACTTTGAAAACGAGCTCCTTTCGTGGTTTCGTATCCGTTCATTTTCATTACGAATTCTAACATGGTTTGGTTTATACTTATGTAGTCCGAACGATTTCTTGAACTTAATGACCTACAGTCATGCGGCAACGGAAGGAAGAGTGTGGGTTGCTTCAATGTTGAACTTGTATGTTACTCGGAACCCTTCGGTAAAAGCAGAGTAACAAAGCGCGACGTTTCAGTGTTCTCTTGTGCACTCATTTATTGTTACGCACATCCGTAAGGCTCATCGATGCACATGTCTCACATCGCTGGTGTATTGCGCACAAATACAGCTGGGAGGAAATGGATGGAGGGTGAGGGGTCGTTGCCCTCGTTGATCGCATATACACACGACGTCTGTAATTTACTTACCAACCTGTTTCGCGCCATTTCTTTATACTCATTATACTCACTAAATGCAGGTAAGGTGTTCTGTTTTGAAGGTGTGCGTCGTGCGTATTTGTGAGGTATTTTCTTCCTCGAGCTGCGTCAAGTTGACAGCGAATCTCTATAATGGCTATGCCACTTTTCCATCTCTACCATTTCTTCTTCACCTGTTCAATGATATGTCCCGAGAAACCTGCGCTCAAAGACCGATGCGCTCATTCTTGCAGGCGATGAGACCACGCTCTAATGTCAACGCTGACAGGAAGAACCTGCCAATATCGAGAAAACGGCGGCGACACTATAGGGCGCTGCGTGTCTTGCAGCGGGAATGACCGCCACACTCGATAAGACCACGGCTCCACGCGGACAACCAAGGCGTAGTATTTATCAGCACAAACAGGGACGACCTAACACGAAGTAGAAGCTTTATGCATAGTTTTGCAAAAGCTGCGAAAGGCTGACAAGAGCGTTTCAGGGTAACTTATTTGGTGCCAAAAAATTGCTTCTGTCAGCTATTTAACAGTAAAAATAATTAGTGTATATTTATTACCGAATATGGCAATAAAGTTTGCGAAGTATGTATTTATCTCGGTTTCCACGGATTACCGCCGATGGAATAAGTATCTGCTTGTCTATATCGATTACCTGACGTCAGGCGAGGGAGAAAATACCCAGTATACAAATATGTGTATTTTGACGCCGTTTCTTTAGCCTTAGGTGCTGGACAAAAAAATAAACGTACATATATTTTTAGCGGCAGTTTTGTGACTGTAACTCCCGTTGATAGATGAGGCGTGAAGGGAATAAAAAGAGGCACTTGAACAAAAAGCATATTTCTGATAAAAAGGCGCCTCTCGAGTGAATCTATATTTTTTGCGCTTGTATAAATAATAGAAAATTGCGATAGGAAGACGAGCGAAGGAGAATCAGTCGCTGCCAAGATATTCATACACTTATGGACACTTTCGAGGCCTATTCACCCACAAGGCGCAGGGCCACCCTATCCCCTGTGTAGGGTAGCGAACCGAGTACAACCTGGTTAATCTCCACGCCTTTCTTTTGCCTCTCTCTCACCGAGCGGACGGCCTCACACCCGTCTCTCATTGGCCACTAGCCCCCTCTCCCACTGCGCTCAACCAACGAGAGAGGGGTGGGAATCTATCCGCCACATGCGGTGTGGCCCATGCGGCTTGAGTATAAACAGGCCCTCGCACACATTCAAGGGCGATGCGTCGGATCGTGCGACTTCCCTAAAAGACTCGTTCATTTTGCGCTCACTGTTTCTGTACGTGTGTAGCTGTATACCATTGTGCGCATGCGTGATTGTGTGTGTATATACAGACTGAGCCGTCGTTTGTCTTCGGGATGAACGTATACTTCTCTCACTGTGGAGTTGGGGATATATACACTTCTCTTCTTCAGCACACGTGTCACTTTTTTTTTCCCGTTCTTTGGCGCTCGTTCAGTAAGGAGTCGCGCCCATGCATAGGTACGAAGCTGTTGTTCGAGGCACGCGCTGCCTGATGTTTCTTTTATACGAGATTGCGTCTGTGCGTTGTCACGAACGTATCCTGTCTTGTTCGGTGCCCCATCACTTTTCTTTTGTGGGTTTACAGAATGAAGCACTGTTCCTCTCATTTGTAATTTTTGTTTTGCGCAGTGCATATGTGTGCGTGTGTACATTTTTGCTAAAGTGTTCACCTATAGACTCGGAACAAAATTGTCACCTTATTCTTTTTGTTTCGACACTGGAATCAAAGAACGAAAAAAAAAGGGGGGGGGGGGGGGCGTGCGCCTTATAAACGGGTCGTTATTCTTTTCTTTCTTTTATTTTCGCCTGTTATTCTCATTGCTTTAGCTGCAGCCCGCACGGTCGACTCTACTGCGCAGTTATTTTAGGAGATAAGTTTGCGTAGAGTAAGTCACTCTGTCATAGGCGGTCGGTGTTATTGTGAGTCGCGCCTGTGATCTTGAAAGAATGGTTATAACATACGGCGAACTGCGACGAGTGTTCGAGGCACCTTGGTCGGTTGCCAACTCTCGATTTCGAGGGAGTGGTATACTTTTACCGCTGCTGCACGCACCATTCTGAAAGGCACGAAAATTTTACGCGTGAAAGTTCACATTTCAAAACTCTTATGAACGCCGCGGCACGGTCGTTAAACAATGTCAACAAGCACATCCCATCGTACCACTGCGTTTCATTCGTCGTGCCCTTTCATCATCACGCATGCACGCGATGGGTAACCGTCGAAGTGACCGGTGTTAAGATACGGTTTACGCCCTTCACGTCACATAATTTTACGCTCCTGCAGATCATCGATGTTTCGATACGAATACGCATAGATAGCCAGGGCGGCCGCTGTTTTCCCGAGGAACCGACTGCGACGTCAAAGCTGTCTCGGGTCGATCATAAATTGTTTCCTGTATGTGTGACACGCGATGTTAGGTCCCTTAACATATACTACGTTGTTACGTGACGACGCCGTTCACATGTGCGGATGACTGTGGTCTTGCTTTTTTCTTTTTCTCCCTTGTGTCATCCTCACCCACGCTTTCCCGATTCTCCACCCTCCTCCTCCTCCTCCTCCTCCTCCTCCTCCTCCTCCTCCTCCTCCTCCTCCTCCTCCATACAATGTGTTCAGCGAGGAACCAAGCTTCCGCTCACCAAGGAGCCGTATCTCGGGATTACCCAAACTGTCCACTGTCTCAGCCTGAGGAATAAATCTATCTTATATCGTTGCCTTTTTCTTTTCTGACGCAAAAGGAACACGATGCACAGAAACTGTATCTTGCTTCAAAATTCTTCTCCACTGCGTGAGGCCTATTGCGTGGCCCTGCTGCCCTTGGTAAGTTCCAATACGTCTTATATACTGTGATGTGTGGTGCGCGTTCAAAGTGCGCGCCTTCGAAAAGTGCGCGTCACGGAAAAAAAAAAAAAAACAAAAGGAGAAATACCAGAGTGCACGTGCGGGGCTGCTTAAACAAGAATGACGACGTTAAAGAGCGTCGAGCACGAGGATGCGTGGCAGGACGTGAAGTAAACAAAAGGTAAAACATCCAATGGGCAGCGAACACGGAGATTTCAAGGCCCAATGGCTTGACACCACGAGACAGCAGTATCTCCAATGAGAACGAGACAAGTGGGCCAGAGCTGAAGCAGGAGCCTGAGCAGACCAGAGCAAGGGGAGTTCGAAGAAGACGGGGCAAGCGGAAGGTCGTCACCGGACCGGGCGCTGAAGATGGGCCGTCGGGCGTAGGACCCGAGCCTGCAGGTCTTCAACCGGCCGGGGCCTCCTGCCGTCGTGTTCCCGCTCCAAAGGACCGTGGCCATCCGGTCCTGAACTCCTTTCCAGGGCCTGCGGACTTTGGTTCCGGCAGGCGAGCTACAGCCGTCGGGCTCCGGGCCCGAGCTGTGCGCCCAGCTGCTTGACTAGGTCGACCCTGGTTCTCTGACGCGTCACCACCAGCCTGCG